ATAAAGAAGGAACCCTGCGGTAGCTACACCATGACAACTGTCTCTAAATTGGACATTAATGACAACAAAAATTTTCGCGATGCAGACCGTGCGTATAAAAATAAACGGCAGCGCCCTATTGATCGCAATAAATACATCATCGTAAAGGGTATGCCTGAGTCTTCTTCAGACATTCCAAATAACAGAATAAACCACGATATAGAATTATTCCAGCAACACCTCAAACCCCTATTACAAGAGAACGAGAACACCACCGTCTTGAAAGCTTTCAGAATAGGACCAATCAAATATTTGAAGGGTGAGTCGGGCCATCATAGACCATTAAAAATTATTCTCGAACATAAGGAACAAGCTCTATTACTGCTGAACAGGAGACCAGCACTGCGAGATGCCCACACAACAATTTTTTTCAGCGGGATTTCTCACCGGCCGAACGGGAGAAATGGAGGGAACTCAAGGTCGAACTCCTCAGAAGATACATTTCCGGCGAGAAGGACCTAAGAATATTGAATGGGAAAATCGCAGATGTTCGGAGCTCATTCCTCTGGAGACAACCAATAACACTGACCATAATGAACAACCAGATAATAAGGAAAGAACGCTCCTATCTGACAAACCGATCAGAGAAAACGACGGCCAACACACTAACATCCAGTCCAATCAAAGAACAGTAGACTCGGAAGGGGACGATAGATCCGAAAAATCGCACGAAATACCCAGCAACTTTGACCCAAAAATCGTTCGGGAATCTGCCCGGGCTAAGCTCCGCTTTCTTTATGCAAATGCTCAGAGTTTGTTCCAGAAGCGAGATGAGCTGAAAGTGCGGATAACAGATATGCAGCCGGATGTCATTTGTATCAGACAGACTTGGTCCCAGACCGAAGTCTTGGATGCCGAAATTACACTCGATGGATACCAACTTTTTCGCCAGAAGACTGCATAAAAAAGGAGGGGGACTAGCGGTCTAAGTCAAGAGAGGAATTATCGCGTCAGAACACAAAGCCGATTGCTCCCGCGACTGTGAAGCACTGTGGTTAAAACTGAGGATGCGTGGCGCCCCTAATCTGAATTTCCTGGCCGTATACGGACCGCCCAATCAAACTTCTGAGGTTGACGAAGCGATTTTTGAGTTAATTAAAGAGGTGTCACAAAACCAACAGATACTGATAACCGGAGACTTCAACACACCCATGGTTAACTGGTACAATTTACTAGTAAATGGTTCGCAAAATTCATTTGAGTCCGGACTCTTGAAGCTAACGAATAATCTCTTTCCGGTACAAAACGTCATGTTCCCAACCAGGAGCAGAGCGGACCTCGTCCTTACAAAAGACCCAATTAGACCTGGCGAACTTAGGTCCATAGCACCGTTCGGTCAGAGCGACCATGCCATGCTGTTTTGGGAATACCGCCTATGCAGCCAACAAGTGAATACGACTGAGCCTCGGTTGAATTTCTGGCTAGGAGATTTTGCCGCTATGAGAAGGGAATTATCGGCAGTGGACTGGAATTATATTGTTTCCGGACATTCAGACGTTGATTGGAACAGTCTCAAAGGAATTGTAACCGACACCATGCATCGAAACTGTCCGACAAAGAGGGTCAAAAAGAATAACCGTCCTGCCTGAACAACGCGAAATATAAAGAAAGAAGTAAACTGGAAGAACAAACTATGGGGAAGGTATGCAACAACAAAACGACCATCTCAGTACGAGCAGTTTCGTCGACAGCGAAACGAGGTAAGGTCGCTATCCGCATGTCGCGGAAGGAGTATGAGACGCGAGTTATGGAATGGGCCGTCGGTAAGCCAAAAAAGCTCTTCAGTTACATCAACAGTAGGTTAAAGAACAAGGGGACGGTTGAAAGGCGAAAACAATGAGGATATCATCGAAAATGACGCTAAGACAGAACATCTTGGCCGGTTTCTCGTATCTGTTTTCACCGATGAAACGGACTTTGACGAGGCGTGATTGCCTACTGGAACAACCGATGAAATAATAGAAAACATCGACTTTACGGAAGAAGGTGTGAGGTAGGGACTTCTAGCGCTTAAAGAGGGTAAGTCTCCGGGTCTAGACCAAATATCGGCAAAAGTTCCTAGGGAGTTGACTTGCGAACTCGTCAGACCACTTTTGCAAATCTTCAGGTCGTCCTTTGACTGAGGCATTCTCCCCTCTAATTGGAAAGTGGCGAACATATACCCCATTCACAAGGGTGGATCTAGAACAAGTACAAACAGTTTTTGGCCGGTGAGGCTAACGTGCATTTGTTTCAAAGTCATGGAGAGAATTGTCAAAAAAGCCATAATGAACTTCTTTGAAGAAACTAATTTAATTGCTAGTTCCCAACATGGCTTTCGACGAAATCACTGCTGCCTAACTAATATGCTTTATTCAACGGAACAGTGGTCTCGCTCGTTAGACGAAGGAACAAAGATCGATATCGTTTGCATCTATTTCAAGAAAGCCTTTGATAGTGTTCCACACCACCGGTTACTTTACAAGGTCCGAGAGTCAGGGATAAGGGAAAACCTATTAAACTGGGTAAAGGACTTTCTGACTGGTCGATCACAGTCTGTGTGTATTGGTAGTGCGAAGTCAACGCCAGTGCCAGTTGTGAGTGGAGTTCCCAGGGCTCTGTACTCGGACCAGTGCTATTTTTAAGTTATGTCAACGACTGTATGAATGAACTGGACTGCAAGGGAGTCATGTTTGCCGATAACATCAAGTTATGGCGAGCGATCAACGGGCAAAATGATGAACGGGACCTGCAAGAAGGACTGAACCGCCTATGCGAATGGTCCGAAAAATGGCAGCTGAAGTTTAACCTTGAGAAGTGCGTCGCGCTGCGACTCAAAACGACTGGAACAGCCGACGGAGAGGATCACCATTACCCGCTTGGTGGAAGGTGCCTTTCAAATGTGACCGAACAAAAAGATTTTGGGATCCACATTTTGTCGACTCTTAAGCCTTCCGCCCAGTGCGTTAGGGCGGCCAAAAGGGCAACCAGTGTTCTCTTTGCAATTAAACGGACTTTCATAGACGTAGACAAAGAGTTATTTGGAAAAGTATACGGAGCGTTCATTCGTTTGCATCTGGAATATGGAATCCAATCGCGGCGCCCATGGCTATAAAAGACCATAAGTTGCTAGAAAGAGTTCAGAGGAGAGCGACAAAAGTTGTGAAAGGCCTCAAGACTTTACCTTACAACTGCAGACTTAGTGAACGTAAATTATTTCCTCTTGAGTACAGGCAGCTTTGAGGAGATCTCATACAGGCGCATCGGATATTGAGGAACCGGGACCGTGCCCTAAACCTCGACGATTTCCGATTTCTTCACCCTGGCCACAACAACGAACCTGCGCGGGAACTCTCTTAAACGTAGAGGATCCCGATTCCGCCTGGACGTTCGCAGATACTCTTTTTCAAGCGAGTCGTCGGTGCCTGGAACGGGCTTCCCGAGGACATAATAATGGCGGATTCCACGGAGACATTAAAGCAAAGACTACATGCATATTTGCTTGGAAAATACCGCTTGTCTGGACAGAACAGCTCTGTAGTGCCTAACCAACGTCTTGCATAAACCTACTGCTAATGCGAATGACTGTCATTTCATTTTACCAATATCCTCTACAACTGAATGTTCTCGAGTTTCTGTCCTGCATGCTCGAAGAAAAAATATTATGGTAAGTGTATATATTACTGGCAACATTTTATTACCATGTTTATTTAAAGTTAGACATTGCATGTACCGTTTTCAATAGGCTTTTCAAAGACATTGCCTATTACTCTTAAAATATACTGACCTATGTATTGACCTAATGTAGGCGTTTATTAACAAAGGTCACTTGTTTTATGCCTGCAAATTCACATAGTCCGCTTGTTGCTTCAGCAGATATCTGTCAAGCCAATATTTAAATGTCACCACAAATTAAGATATTACAATCGCCTAGAGCAGGTATTCCCACGGTTCCACAACACGGCTGGAGAAAAAATACTTTCCTAAATTCAGTCTTCCTCGGGGCACATGCAGTTTAAAGGAAATTAAAATCGAGACTGAAGGGTGGCGAACGCAACCTGGCTATCTTGAAGAAGAAGACACGATCGCCGGGACGAGAGCTTTATTAGCCTGACGTTTCGGATTCCTGCTCGAATCCATCATTAGTGACAAAAGCAGATAAGGGTGGTTCATGCACATGCGGCTGCAGTATTTATAGGATGCAGCAGCCATGCTACCGCATACCTATGAATATTCACGGCTCCCTTCCCTTCATCAGGGATCGTTGCACGTGACGTGATGGCCGACATTCGCGTCGTTAATTGCTGCAATTTTATCACGTGCGTTGGATGTTGGTGTGATGATTGCTCGACCATCTGACGCGCTGACCCGGGTGTTGGGAAGAGTGTTCACCTGTGCGCTCCCCGCATGGCCAATTACTCCGCCAAGACGAAGTCTTAGCACGGTGTATTGAATGGGAAGATCATTGCACTCGTTAATAGACTGGGGGCCAGTGAACCATGACTCAAGCAGCTCCTGGCTCACGCGGTTGTCACCTCTTGCGAGAATTTCGGTCTCGTCAAATTTGAATGTGTGGCCGGAACCCGTGGAATGAGCCGCAACTTGAGAGCTGGCGTCATTTCTCCGCACCGCTGCAGCGTGTTCGGCCATCCGCGTTTGAAGTTGTCTTCTGGTTTCTCCGAAGTAGTTGCTTTGTCCGCAACTGCACCAGATCCGATAAACGACTCCAGACGTTTCTTGCGGTGGCAGTGGGTCTTTTGGTTTCATCAACTGACGCCTGATGGTTGCCTCCGGTCTGTGACGCCTAACCGCTGAGTCAGATACCACGGTCTCTTCGTACGCAGAATTCCTGGAGAAACTCAAAGGGGTAAGCCTCCATCCCAATGAGGTCCTGGTATCTTTTGATGTTACATCCCTTTTTACTTCTATTCCCCAGTACCTGGTGATCGAGACAATCGAGCTGCTTCTACAAAGCAAATACGATGAAACGGAGAATCGTCTTGGACGCGCCCAAGTCCAAGGACAGGACAATCTACGAAGAGGTGAAGGGCACATCAATGGGTTCGCCAATTTCGGGATTCATCGCCGAGGCGGTCCTGCAACGGTTAGAGTCGCTGGTCATCCAACACCACAAACCGACGTTCTGGGCCCGGTATTTGGATGATACCTTCGTCGTTGTTGACCGGGATCAACTGCTGACATTAAAGGAACGTCTGAATGCGGTCTTCCTGGACATACAATTTACGATGGAGGAGGAAGAGAACAACCAGCTGGCCTTCCTGGATGTCCTCGTATGCCGCAAGGATTTTGGTGGACTAAGGACCAAAGTGTTCAGGAAGGCGACGAATACGATGCAAGTACTGAACTTCAACAGCAACCACCCAATCAGCCACAAACGCAGTTGTGTAAGGACGCCCTATCGGCGTGTCGAAACGCACTGCAGAGAGCCGGAAGACAAGATTGCCGAACTAAAATAACTTCGACGGGTACTTAAAGCAAATGGCTACCCGCGCAACTTTGTCAACCGGTGGATACGCAAAAGGGACGAAAGGCCTAACCGCATGGACGCAAAAGTTTGGCGAGCGATTCCATATGTCAAGAACGTTTCGGGAGATGTTGGCCGCCTTCTCGCACCACTTGGGTTGGAGTTGATCACAGACCGCAGGCAACCATCAGGCGTCAGTCGGTTTAAATATAAATTTAATTTATTAAATGCCAGTTTACAGGCATTGTCAAGGGAAGCGATTAAACACAAATCCGACCAGTAGTGAAAAAAAACTCCTGAAGAATAAAAATATAGTTGGTGTTGGTTTTTATGGTTTGGAGGGTTCGGGAGAAAAAAAACTGCTGGCGGTAGATTTTCGACCGTAAAGAAGGGGGGAGGGGGTTGCACGGTACCGGAGATTATCGGACGTCAATTCCTTTCATGAAGTTGGGGATAGTCAAAGTAGAGGCGTTGAGGAACAGCTGGTGAGACCGGCCATAGTGTTCAGAAACCACAAACGCCATCGCTACGGTAGAGTCGATCAGTGGATTCAGAACCCAAAATTTGAGGAAGCTTTTCTGAATGCAAAAATCGAGTAATAGTTCTCTTAAATAAAGGATAATTTTGTAGAGTTTTCACACTCATTGGTAGTTTATTCCAAATAGCAATTGCATTTACAGAATAGAACCGACGATATTTAACAGCACGTGCCAGAGGCAGAAATAAGAAGACCTCACGGTAACTGTTACGTCGTGGGTGGATATGATGTCTTAAAGAAGTGAGTGGGTTAAATGTGTGATTATATAAGAGTTTAAATAGCAAAAATAGTCCCTTTTGTAATCTACGGAACCATAAAGGATCAAGGCCCGTAAGCCGGCAACGTTCTTGGTAAGACAAATGTCGATGTTCTGGGGTTAAAATTCTCTTGGTAAAAAAGTGTTGAACGGATTCTATTTTCTTCCGCTCAGTAGCACGCATGAGGCTAAATAAAAACGAACAGTATTCCAGACCGGGTCTAACGTACATGTTGTAAAGGCGCATTTTGATGTCCCTAGTTTTAGAGTTTCGGAGGATAAACCCGGTCGTTCTGCGTGCTTTGGAGACTATCAAGGCACAGTGCTCCGAGAGATTGAGACTCTTGGAGTATGACATGCCCAGATCCTTAATAACCCCAGGCACATTTATGGAGTGACCTTCAATATTTAGTTGAGGTTGGTGGTCGTCGCCAACCACCATGACTGAGCACTTATGCTAAGAAAGAGAAAGGCGTCATGTGCGGCACCACTGGGCGAAAGCATGTAGATCGCTCTTTAGGAGCTCAAGCATGATGTCACGATCTGCCGGCTTATATCGATATGCAACTTTAAGATCATCGGCATACATGAACGGCTTACCATTCTGAAATAAATCGGGTACATCATTAACGAAGAGGCAAAATAAAAGCGGGCCGAGTACACTACCCTGAATGACTCCACTCCTCACACCTGTGGGGTTGGAGATAGTATTGGAAATCTTAACTCGTTGTGTACGAGTGCCCAGGTAAGAGGATATGAAATTCAAAAGTTTCTCACCTATTCCGAAAGAGGACAGTTTCAAGAGAAGAAGAGCATGGTCAACACGATCAAAATCTTGGTGAAATCGAAATATACAGTGTAGAGTGCAAAACCATTGTCCCCAGATTGGAGAACATAGTCAAAGAAAGAGAGCTGACAGGTGCCACAAGACCGAGCTTCGAGGAATCCATGCTGTGCAGCGCTCAGCAAGTTATTCACTGTTAAGTGACACATCATCTTATCCTTGATCAATGTATCTAAGATCTTCAAAACTGCGGGGAGAGTGTTTATTGGCCGAAAGTCATCAAATGACGTAGATTTGCCGTGCTTAGGAATGGGCAAAATGTGTGATTCCTTCCACAAGGTAGGATAGGTTTCAGTTTCAAGAGCAAGATTAAATAAGATCGTGTTTGCATCAGCTTTTAAAATGCTTACTGGGACACCATCAGGGCCTGGACTACAAGATTGACGAAAACGCCGAATCGCAACAGTCACATCCCACAGAGTGAAAGTTATAGTTTCTAGAACTGCTCCGGTCAATGGCTGGATGGTCGGAAGCGGAGTGGTCGAGTCTTCAATGAACGTTTTGGACAGGAAATCATTGAAGCTATCAGCGGTTAACTGGGCATCAACTATGGGATTTCCGAGAGCGTCTCGGAGGATGGGATGCTGCGTCTTTCTATGAGTTCGTATTTTTCTAGAGAAAAGTTTCGAGACATTAAACGAATGGTTTTCGGTAAACTGAACCTCTTCGGCTAGCTGTTTTTCTTCAGACAATCTCTTGGCTCGATCAAAAATATCACGAATCAAGGGCAGGACAGAAACATCGTTCTGAAGATGGAAACGACGATAAAGCCTGCGCAATCTGCGACGAAAGGGTAAGGGTAGGAAAACCTCATCCCCAACATTAATAATTTTCTTACGGCGGACAAAACGAGAAATAAGCGGATCCAAAATTTCGTACAGATTTGCAGTGCAAACATTTACGTCCGAACTAAGGAAGAAATCAGTCCAGTCGTAGGAATTAAGGTGTGTTAATAATTCGGTTGAGCGAGTTGATCGGAAATTGCGGAAAAAGCTATACTTTGGGGACAACGTTTTGTCAGCCTCGAATTCCAACGTTGAAACAACTATGTCATGGTCTGAGCCCCCGAGTGGGCCTAGGGATGACACCGACGATGGCATGCAGCCTCTACAGAAAATTAGGTCAAGTATGCTTGAGCCTCGGGTGGGAAAATCGGCAACCTGATTCCACATCCCAACATCTACAGCCTCAAGAAATTCTTCGAACCTTCTTGGGCCTGAAGGCGGAGACCAGCGGACTTCGGGAAGATTAAAGTCACCCGCAACCAATTGATACTTAAAGCTTGAGTCGGCCGAAGCATGAAATGCCTGTGAGAGTAAACGATCAAAGTTGTCCTTGGCGTCGGGAGGACGATAGACGCAGCCAACGAGTAAGGAGAACTTATTTTTTAGTGCAACCTGGAGCCAGCAGCTGCCTTCTACTGCGGAAAAATGCGGGAGGTCCAACGGCAAAAATGTAAGTGTTTGCTTAACGTAGACGCAGCTGCCCCCACCACGGCTATCATGGCGATCATTTCTTATGCAATTATAGCCTAGAAGCGAGAGTTCGGAGTCAGCTACTGAGGCTGATGCGCACGTCTCAGTTACTAAAACAATATCTGGACAATGGACGAACACCAGAGTCTGAAGCAAAGGCATCTTATTAAGCAAGGATCGGGCATTTAAAACAAAAAGTTTGAAGGGAAAGGCTTTTTTTCTGAGGGAAGTGGGCGTATTACTGCACTGCAGGGCCGACCCGGAAGCTTATATATATTGCGGATGACTGGCGTTGAATTTGCCTAACTCTCTCCTGCCACATCCGTCGTTATCTGGTAACAAAGCAAAGTCGAAATGGTGGAGGGTGGGAGAAAAGTTAAACGGTCCACACACGCGTGCCACACGTGGACATGTGGCTGTCCGCACTCTTGGCTGGCGATGTGTCGCTGCCGTTTGTCCGCTGGCCAATTCACTGCCCGGACAATGCAAGACTTTTCCCTACGCTCATAAGGGGGGGGGTTGAAGCCAATCGATGCACACATGTAACTATATCGCAGCACTGTATAAGAAAGTATATCCTGAGTGACGACCGCATGGCCTTATCGTTACTAATTCCACAAAACCGCGAAAAGTTTACTACAGGAGAGAACAGTGGTGGGCGTAAACTATTCCTATAGCTGATGCTCAGTTAACCGCTGACAATGTCAATGCTTTCCCATCAAAAACGTTTATTAAAAACTCGACCACTCCGCTTCCGACCATCCAGACACTGACCGGAGCAGTTATCGAAATTATAACTTTCACTCTGTGGGATGTGACTGTTGCGATTCGGCGTTTTCGTCAATCTTATAGTCCAGGCCCTGATGGTGTCCCAGTAAGCATTTTAAAAGCTGATGCAAACACGATCTTCCCATCCCTCTTATGCAATATATTTAATCTTGCTCTTGAAACTGAAACCTATCCTACCTTGTGGAAGGAATCACACATTTTGCCCATTCCTAAGCACGGCAAATCTACGTCATTTGATGACTTTCGGCCAATAAACACTCTCCCCGCAGTTTCGAAGATCTTAGAGACATTGATCAAGGATAAGATGATGTGTCATTAACAGTGAATAATCTATATGTTATAACCGACAAAGAGCCCGTAAGGCACAACGGAACGAATGAGCTCCTTAAGAAATATTGATGAGCTCTCCCTAGCAGGGAATAACCTACTGAGCGCTGCACAGCATGGATTCCTCGAAGCTCGGTCTTGTGGCACCTGTCAGCTCTCTTTCTTTGACTATGTTCTCCAATCTGGGGACAATGGTTTTGCACTCTACACTGTATATTTCGATTTCACCAAGATTTTGATCGTGTTGACCATGCTCTTCTTCTCTTGAAACTGTCCTCTTTCGGAATAGGTGAGAAACTTTTGAATTTCATATCCTCTTACCTGGGCACTCGTACACAACGAGTTAAGATTTCCAATACTATCTCCAACCCCACAGGTGTGAGGAGTGGAGTCATTCAGGGTAGTGTACTCGGCCCGCTTTTATTTTGCCTCTTCGTTAATGATGTACCCGATTTATTTCAGAATGGTAAGCCGTTCATGTATGCCGATGGTCTGAAAGTTGCGTACACCGTTCAACTTTATTTTTATTTGTTTTCCACAGGAGTACTTTTTCACTGCTGACGGGATTTGTGTTTAAACTTCTCCGAGAATGCTTGAAAAATGGCATTAAATACAATTATTATTATTATTATTATTATTATTATTATTATCCTTATTAGTATCATCATTATTAGACGAGACGGTAGCCCAGAAGAAATTGCCTTTTTCACCTTGGTAGTGGTACTCGTGATACTCTCTGAAACTTCGTACATCCGCCGTCGTT